GCTCAAAGAGTCAGTGATAACAGAATGAAAAAATTCTAATGATAAATAGCATGCAATCCATCAGGCCCGAGTTTTAGATAAAAGTGATGCAATGTGAAAACATTTGGAAGTAAAAGTTCAACTTGTCTACTGCAGTTTGTTAAATGGGTATATTTATATAGATAGATGACAGAGTGTTTACAGAAATGTGTCTCAATTAGTAATTTCAGGCATTCCAAGTCAAACTGAACAATTTCTAGATTTACTGCACCTACTATGAACTACTGATACCTCAAAACTACTTCCCAATATTTTCTGCATTTGGCTCCACTCTGTTATCATCTCATCTAAATGTATGTTATATGTTCTATAAAGTAAAGTAAGTAAGTAAGTAAACTAGCCCCACCCGCCAGCTGCCAAAATCGTTTTTGCCTGTGAGTTTGGTCTGGCCTCGATCAATTCCCCAGGCCCTAGAACTGGCGGGCCAATTCCAACGCAGAGATGTGTTTTGAATTTTTGGATGCAAAGCGGGCGGGGTTTTGGGGGCTTGACGACAAAGCTGCACGACGCTGGAGAAAGCACAACAAGGAAGATGGCAACAACTATTAAACAGCAGCATGCACTGCGGCAGCAGCAGCTTTCAATGGAGCGCCCCATTGAAAGTTAAAAGTTCTCTTTTCTGTCGCTGTTGTTCAATAAAAGTATGTTTTAAGATCATTTGTGGCAAGAATATTATACTTTAAAGCATTGCTATATGGTCCATTTAGCTATTTAATGCGTAATTAAAAAAACAATTTCCGAAGTTGAGAGGGCCACAGCAACCAGCGGAGCTCCGAGGCTAACGGCAGCCAGGGCTAACTGCAGCCCTTCTGCAGCGGCCCTCTCTTGGCATAGTCGTGTTTGAAGGACTGCTGGCTCTGATGCTGATTTTTGATTCAGCTTTAGAATCAGTTTTGGAAGGATTACACTTAGGGTTTTCGTTGAAACTTGAGCATTTAATTCATTTTTAAGGAGGACGTATTCACGGTTTTTCCAACTGCCTGTTTGTTTACACACCCCCACCAGCTTTCTGTGGCACTTACTACATCACAGTCAGTTGCGCTCATTGGTCAGAGCATTGGCCAATAGGCACAGACAGTCTGTCTCATGCATCGGGGCCAGACTAAATTACACATTTAATCTCACATTAAGTCTGGTTTATCAGGATAGCACAGTTCTATTCCTGTGTTGATGATGTACACATTGGAACACTGGGTATAGTTCCCTCATCTACTATAAGGTTAGCTGTTGAACTAAACCCTTTTTTCTGCATATAAACCTCTCAGGTTCTGTGTTAGAACACGTCTTTATAGTAAAAAAGGTCACTAGAACCTTGTTGCTTTAAAACTATTCCTCCATTGTTACTGCCATGTTCTTGTAGAGATATACATTTTCTGATACACAGTAAATTCCAAAAGGTTACATTTAGGTCTTATCTTTCTTAGACCACTTTAACCAATCTATTTACTCTAATTTAAACTGGAAAACTGGACTTCTTATTAGTTTCTTTTTGCAGAGGCGTTCATTTTGCCACTGTTTCAATTAAATTGGTTCTCTCACCTAAACTGTAGATCTCTTAAGCTCTTCCAGTGTTATCACAGGCCTCTTGGTTATTACCCTGATATTCGTTCTCACTATGTCACCTGTAAGATTAGGTGTTACATTTGCAGTGGTTTTTCCTCTTTCCAGATTGCAAAAAAAAAAAAAAATCCAGTTTAAAAAAAAATAATTTAAGACCTAATGGAAATGGAACACGGTTTGGATTACATAATATATTTTTTGCAAGACACTGTCACTGTCTAGACACTGTCTAGATGAATATACACTTTCAGGGAAAGTATTTTTGAAGTATCTCATAAATATAATCATTTTCATCACATCCCTCCAATGCTCACCCTTAATATGTTTTGATTTTTTATGCCACCTGTGTCTTTATCTGCTTCACAGCTAGGGGGCAGTATAAATTCTACTACTTTTCTGGTTTTGTGTTGATCTACATAATTCCTGATGGATCCTTTCATGCTCTGCCACCTCCCCACCTCTTAGGATGCTGCTGCTGACTGTGAGTTCTCTGGAGGAGTCTCTGATGTGGCAGCCTTTGCTCTACAGCTACTGCTGGGCCCCTGGCGGGGAGGGAGCTCGGAAAGTGATGATGATGTGTTTATAGAGGGAAAGATGTTCAAACACATTTCACCTCACATGGAAGGTTGTGAAGCAGTTGACATCAAGCAGATTGGGATGGTGGGATTGAAAGCTATCAAAACATCTTTCAGGTAGCACCATTTTTTTGTTGCATATCTCTGCTAAAATTTACATTTTACAAACCAGAGCAAAGCATAATAGTTGCTTTGAGGCTCTAACGAAACTTTGACTCTCCTTATGAAAGCGTATACTGTCCCACCATAGTGGGTGCTAGTCATCTACATAAAGACGTGTTGTACATCAAGATTATAACATCGGGTATGCCCGCTTCCTTCTGCTCCTTTGCACATGCCAAGGGCTTAATTAAACCTACAAAGAAACACATCACATATTTTTTTGATGAGAAGCTTTGAATGGGTATAAAGGTGCCTTATGCTACAACAGATAAAAGGAAATAATGTAGAATGTGGTGGTTGTCAGGGTGAAAAAGTAAACACCATTTACATGGAAATGGGGCAAGCATGATGCAGAAGTTTCTTATGAATAGCGCAGTAAAAAACAACTTTCACCCAATTTAAAGAGAACTCTATTTTTAATGCGGATTTTCCTCATCCATCATTAAAATTTGATGCTGCCCTCTCTGTGTAATGCACTACATAACCAGCATATTCTATGCAAACCCTGAGTAGTTTTACTGAATCGGTCCAAACAAACATAGAGAGATAACAAATACCACTGTAAGAGGTTCACCAACTGCTTTCGAAAGTTTTAGATTTAGAATCTTTGCATGTTTTTTTTTTTTGACAAAAACAAATACTGTTTATAAATATGAAAGGAAAAGAATAGATAGTATTGAATCATACAGAAAATATTTATTTCACTCCATAAGTTTTTTGATCTCATTTAATGGATTATATTTTGCTTACAAAAGTAGTGTAAACATCATCGGTGTCAACTGAAAGGGACAGAAACAATTTGGTTATACCTGTAAAAAACAATACATATGCTATTCTATTCCATCATTTAACTTCTAATTTTAACCCTCAGCAGCTCCCTTAGAAAGGAAAAACATTACTTTATCACTGAACCACTTCAGGATTGGGCAGAACATTTTCTAATCAGTTTTTGTCACTTTTTTTCTTACAGTACATTCTTCGCCCACCTCCTTGTATTTTCTATCAACTCTTTAGAATAATCACATCAGATATCTTTATTTAAGGAAGTCATCTTTTTATTGTGTTGTTTGCTTTTTAACAACCTTACAGCTCTTCTGTACTGTAGAAACATAACAATTAAGCTAGCTTAATATTTAAATGCATCAGATTTATGTGTAAGATGAAACAGAGCTGAACTGGCATACCTACAAGGACATTTAAAAGTCCTTGTAGGTATGACTGATGATTCAGTATATTCTGGTGGACTATAATTTGGAGGTTTAATCTGACTTTAGAAGTCACTGAGTAACTATTAACCGGCATTTGAATTGAATTGAAAAAGCTTCCTGGATGGGAAGCAAAACATCTTCAAATTTGTAAAAGAAAGTCCAGTGCTTTGTTTTTTAACTTATTCGGAATGACTATTACCCTGGATGACTGAGAATCTTAACCAGCATATTAAACTGTAGAAAACCTAAATTATACAGAGTAAAAACCAAAAAAATTAAACACTGTTTAAACACATTCCTTAAAAACACAGTTGCATGTTCAGATGCTGGATTAATTGGCACACAATAGTACAGCTTATGGCTTTTAAAAATAAAAATAAATAAATGGATAAAAAAAAAAAAAACTAAGATGATTCAGTTAAAAAAACATGAGTTAATAAAATTAGAAATGGTGAAATGACACACAAAAATAGATAAAACAAAAAAAACTGTTTTTCATGTATGTTTTTGTCACTCCATTTGAAATAATAAAGTGCCTATGTAAATTAACTAGTGTGTTTTTCAACTTAAGAAGCTTAAGAAATAAATGCAATTGCACAACCTCTAAATATGTTGCTTAACATAAGTTTTCTTAATGGCAAGAATTGTGCGTTTTACACAACTTGTAATGTTCCTCTGTGGAATCATGATAATGTCAGACTAAGCATACTCATTGAAGGTCACGGTTTCATGACATAACTAATAAATGCAATAAGGAAAAGTCAACATTGTGTCAGGACTGAGAGGGTTTTATTAGATTCCAGTAAATTCCAGGCCACATTTTCATTGGCAAGTAAAGCAGAACATTTTCACTGTTCTATTATTGAACTGCAAAAAATGCTGTAATACTCTTTCAGGGAAATATGTATAAAATTAAATTGTAACTCTGAAATAATTGGCAACAAAATGTCTTATTTCTTTCTATTCTGTAGTGGCAGATCAGCTCCTCCAACCAGGCCACTGCAAAGTGGGACTACTTAATGGTCACAGCAGAGAACATGTACCTGACAGGATGCTTTGATATTTATAACCACAGCCTGAAGAAAATAGGACAGCATAAGGAGGTTTAAATATGTGGTTTTAAAATGCTCAGGTTGCCTCAATCTTATGATGTATATGATTTTTATTTTATAAGTGAGACTGTTTATAGATAAACAGATAGCTTCTTCCATAGAGTGTACAACTGTAACACTATTATATTGTGTTACTTAAAACAGTGAATTCAAGCATTTCCAAAATTATTACAGAGCACTATATTCTACTGTACTGCAAAACATATGATACACTCCAATTTTTTACCAATTTGTACACTTTTTGATCTCAAACTCCAATGTTTTATTAAATAGTTTGCCACAAGTCATGTAGACAAGATTAGCCCAGATAAGACTATGTGGCTTGTATACATAACTTTACATACCGTCTACATGGTAGAACATGTACTGCAAGCAAGGACAGGAAAGCTGCTCAGAGTTTATAGGTAGATGGATGGAGCTAAATCCAGGATTTTCCTGGGGAAAAAAAAAATTGGAAAGGAGAAAAGACCTGAGACTGGGGTAGAGGCTTACCTTCTTGCAGGACATCCACTCTGAACATACAACCAGTCTAAATAACAATATTTAGGTATAAGTGCATTCATTTTAGTCTCTGAATATATAAAGATATATTTACTTCATGGCTTTATAGAAAAAAAATAAACTATTTGGTGAACAGAACTTCATAGTTCTTCCACTTCACAATTGTAAACTACAATAGTATCTTTTGTTTTACAGGGAATGAACTAACAAACATCTTATATCTTTTCGACGGCTAAGATTAGTTTAGATTGGCAAAGATTATAAAATGAAGTGCACTACTGAAGTCAACATAGGCCTTAAAATAGCAACAGAATAGTAGCATATCACAGCCTCATTACCTGCATATCACATTGCATTACTGTGCAGAGTTAACAAAAACATTTCAATGAAAATTCAGAAAAATGTTTATTCATCTTCCTCACATACCATCATATCAACAAAAGTAACACTCACAAAGAACAGTACGTTCTGGTGGCATAGTTTAAAAAGCCGCCCACGCATTAAGCAGATATCTGTGCACCCGCAGGTGTGTTAAGTTTATACTTCTACTGAGAATTGTACATACTGCATAGGCACAATATGCTCTTTCCTTTGTTTCAGAGTTTTTGTGAGCAAACTAATGTCTCCTTTCAAAACAGGCATAGATAAACAAGAAAGAATTAGAAAAAAGTTTGATATTGGTAGATTAATTTTTGCTAAAATCCATCTTTTTTTACATCACGCATGCTTTGCCTTTAATACAGCCAAAACATCATGAAGTTTTCTAATGAAACACCCGCCTAATCCACACATGAAAACAGATTTATTTATAATAAATACTTTTTTATAATTTAAAATAAACAAAAATGGTTCACTTACGACCCAAACAGGAGCGCGAAGAGCATTTCTGCTTTGAAGGAAAATGGATGGAGGGCTCTGCATGCAGATACTCTGAAAGGCAAGCAGCATACAGTAGAAATTACAGCTAGGTATGTTACTTCATGAGGCAAGCATAAAAATAAATATTTTAAGTTTACCTTTAATAAACAATCAAAAAGCTAATTTGTTTAGAGTTAAAATTAAGATATTCACAACAACCTAACCTTAGAAGACATTGTCGGGAGCACTAATTAACTATTAAAAGCACTGTGTCTCGTTAATGTATAACACCTAGTTTATGTACTTTTTGTGGGATCTTTTAGCTTTTCTTACTGCTAAGAAAGTACTGATCAGCCTATTTAACCCTTTAACTGCATGTTCAACCAAATGCTTTACAATTTGCTCAGCAAACTGCAGGTTTTATTTAATATTTGTTGCACCATAGTGGACAGATCAACCTCTGGTGAGTTTTTTCCAAAAAAAAAAAAAAACTTATGTACCTTACGTTAGAACTACAGCAGGTTCTAACCATAGGATTGAATCATATTAAATCCTTGGTTTGTAGAAGTAAATACACTTAAGATTTTCACAGAGTTGCATCAGAATAATAAAATATGTAGTTTTACCAGGATCAGGCAAAAACTAAGTTAACTGCAATATGATCTTTAGCTCAAAAATGTTTGCATATTCATAATCGACTTCACATTAAAATCATACCTTGTATATATTTTACACTTACAAAAGCAGCAGCTTGAAAGCACCTTTACAATAAAGTGTGTCAATTCACCCTAATTTCAGCTTTTGTACCTTTTTTAATTATTAGTCCCTTCTGTCTCATTTCATCTAATTAATTTATTAGTTTGAAGCATATCTCTGAATTTATTTAATCACAATATATTTTTCAGTCAAGATGCATTGACATTTCAAATTTTTCAGATGAGTTTTGTATTTTTGCAATACACTCACTTAGATACAGACCTCAGTAAATGGCTCCTCCTTAGTCAAAAATGTGACAATAGCAGTTCCAGCAAGCACAGTGGAAAGCACTAAACGTTATAAAACTGCTGACCACAGACGGATGTCTTGTTTTCATGCAATGGCACACTACAGTTATGTAAATTATTACTAAAGTAGTATAGCATTGTTGAAAAAACTGCTCTCTGTTGTAAAGACAATTTTTTACTCCACCATTTCTTTGTGATCCTCTAAAAAAGTTGATTGGAAATAAATTAGATTTTTGATGGTAAGATATTTAATCTATCTAACCTTTAAATAACAGAAGTATGCTTGCCAAAATCTACTTAAAGCTGAAGTCTGTAAGTTTTTAAAAATCACTTTTTTGTCATATTGGCTAAAACTGTCCCTATGCCCAGACAGCAGTGCATGTGATATGTAACCTGTGAAAAAAACTGCTTCAATTGGTACCGCCTACTGCCTGTATTTCAATCTGGAAAGAATAATTCGGGACGAGTCAAAACAACCAATCACAGCCAGAGGAGCGTCTGATGGAGTGTCAATCACAGCTCACACACGCTGAATCCCGCCCCCCCCCCCCCCCCCCCCCCCCCTTCTGGTCGCATGCGGTAGCCGCGCAGATGCTGTGAGAGGGGTGGAGCTTGGAGGTGGGGCATGAGTGAAGCAGAGAGGGTGGGGGAGTGGCGTGAAACCTGTTTTTCTTCAAATTTTCAGTCGAAGTCTGCTCTCTCCTCAATGTTACAGACTGCAGCTTTAATACAGGTCTTCTAAACTGAAACATGTCTTGTTGAGGTCCACATGTACTGTAGCAAGGACATACTGGATTCCCCTCATGCCCTGACAATCCTGCACAAATCTGTCACAATGGGATTGGCAGCATGTCAGGGTGGAGCTTAGGGTTTGTTTATGCCTGATGCATGGTGATCTGCTCGGAAAATGAACCACCCGTTACAACGTCTGCAGTTTTGTATCCTCTCTGAAGCTTTTCCCTGATACTGACTGGCTTCAGAAGGGTATCTACAGCACAAACAGCAAGCTTCTAGTACCACAGTACAGGCGGGTATCTACAGCACAAACAGCAAGCTTCTAAAAACACAGTACAGGAGGAAGTAGAAAAAATAGACCATTTACTTTATGAAAACCTCTTTGTGGTGTCCAAAACTTTTTCACAATGTTTTAATAGTAGTGGTATTTATGAGTTGAATCATAGATTGTCTCTAGATTTTTACATTTGCAAACCTTCACTAGTAGGAGATGTTTCACACTTGCAGTGTTTTTCTGTGTAGATCCTTCCATATAGTTAGATCTGGGGGTCCTGAAATTCTGTTAAATGGATGCTGCAGGGAGGAGTGTGAAAACTAAAAATTGTGTAATTTCCCTTGTGGACTTGTCAGGCATAAATCAAGCTTTAGGGGAGTTATGGCATCAGCATTGTAACCAGAATGTATAGGCACTGGTGAGGCATCAGATATTCTAGAACTTGAGGAAGGACTGATAACACTGGAATCCTGCTAATCAGCATCTTTTTTTCTCTTAACATTACCAAACAATGCTCTCTTTGTGCAGATAAAGTTATACATATAGGTACAGGAATGAGCTACAGAATCAGCTGGAGTAACAGAAACTGTGAAAGAGAGATCATGCAGGGTCGACTGTACTGGTTGCTGGGAGACTGAAGGAGGTTGTGGGTCTTTCAGGTCGCAGATTGTATAGTGTGTACCTGTCAGGCTTTCAGTGAAAATCCTTGGATTCTATTTTTTTTCCATCAGGGACAAGGAGAAGGAGGAGGAGATGAAGAGGGAGGATTTACAAGCTATGGTTCATTGGAGATACATATTCATCAAGATTCTAGCTGATCTGCCTGACTAACAACTTATTTGTACAGTATAATATGACAGCATAACTTCATCAGTATGTAAAAAAATACATCATAATGTTTTAGAAGCCATTTTGGAAAATTTCACAATGATTACTGTTAATACTTAAATACAATATGGATTAATGTTTAAGATCTCTTGATTACTCCTGAGGGTAGTCATAGAGGGCGGCATCAAGGTTCAATTAGTTTTCCCTGAAAGCAGCATACAAGATTGCATTCTATACAGTGTACAGCTTTCTGACTGAATAGCCCTTCATCTGTGTGCTCATCATCCTGCTGATATACTCATAATAATTAAAACCAAGACAAACCTTCAGCAAACAGAGGTTCTGCTCATTATGTGAAGGTGGAAACGATAACCTATTGCAAATGTGGCAATAGTCATATCAGTGTGGCCGGACTTGACGATAAACATTCTGCTCATATAAGATATAGGGTAGCATCACGTGTAACTTTAGTCATGGACATCTTAGTTGGATTAAAATCCAAGGTTAAGGAGCCTAATTCTTTTTTTTTTATATATATATAAATTACCTGCTAGGTTGCCTGTCTACAGATGTTTTGTCAGTGTCATGAGCCTTGATTTAAATGGATACATACATTATGTTAACAAAAGGGAATAGACCTTGATCAATATCTTTAACTCAATGCACTTTCCCACAACACTTTGAGCCATTTTAGATGACCTCCTGCTGTGCCAGTAGTTCCAGCCTTGGCAAATCTCTCAAATTAATCAAGGGAAAAAATACTCAACAATTAAAAAAAAAAGATCCTTCAGTGACTACAGCTATAATATATTCCTATTAGTTTGAGACTGGAAAAGTCAAATAGCCCCATTGTTTTCTTTGAGTTACAGACTTAATCACATCATCCGAATCATTCGTGGTCTAAACTCTAACTGTGATTTTTGGCTATTCTAATGAAATCTTTTTAAACCATCCAGGTGAAACCGGTTTTGGCAGTACTTTCTGGATTCATTAGCATATTAAGCCTCTTTTTCATAAAATGAGGTGGACTGCACTGTCCTAAGGGGGATTTGCATGGAGTAAGAGTGAGAGGACAAGGAGAGACAGAAGGGGAAGGGAGGACCAAAGTACCATTGGGATGAAATTTTGAGTTTGCCAAGGTCAGCATAACTCTCACTATGAAATGAAACTCTGCCAAACACACACAGACCAGCAAGCAAACACACTCATACAAGAAGCATCTCACTGTCCATATTAGCTCTGCCCTGGGCACAACGTGCTGAGAATTGCTAAATTACCACAGGGCTCACACTTGGCTATATGGGCATGTACTCCCCCACATAGAAACACACAGACTGCTTGCTTTATCTTTTGTGTCAATAAATTAGTCTCTGCTCGTCTGGGGTTCTTCACCTTAAACCTTTGTCTTTTCTGCACTCAGGTGAGTGCCAGCTGTTGTGAGTCTTGACAGCTAGTATTTGTGGACCGTCTGCCAATGTACTGTTAATGACTTTTACCTTGTTGATTAACTACATTCTCAATAATCTCCAAACTTCATTACCATCCATCCATCCATCCATCCATCCATACATCCATCCATCCATCCATCCATCCATCCATCCATCCATCCATCCATCCATCCATCCATCCATCCATCCATCCATCCATCCATCCATCCATCCATCTTCAGTTTCCCTAGGGCAGAAATAAATTAATGCCCCATATAATTTTCATGCTTATAAACATCTTAATTTTTTACCACTCATTTTTGCAAGTAAGGCCAAGCCACTTCATTGATTGCATCTAACATTGGCAAAGAAAGAGAATGAAATAACTTCCCCCACACATGTCAAACACATCTGTATTCACTTTGCTTGACGTGCATCAAGAGAATTTTTCAAACTCTAGACGAGCATCTGACTTCAAAGTGTACAAGGGTAAAAGTTGAGGCCCTGGGTGGCTTATCAACATGCAAACATGGTAGGTCTGAAAGTAACTTTAAAGCATATGAAAGGAGATATTTATCATAGTACTTCCATGCATGTCACTGATCACCACTGACCACATGTTCAAAATCTATCCAAAACAATTTATCCAAGACTAACAGTTCTGACTCTCACTCACACACCTTTCCACACACTTCTATTCCAGGACTAGCATCAATCGTTTTATATCATAAAATATGCAGCTCTGCCTAGAAAGTCTTGCTGATATGTCAAAACTGTGAATGGTTTTTAAAATTCAGGTTTTGCTTGTT